TGTTCCTGTTCCTGTTCGTGTTCCGGTTCCTGTTCCTGTTCCTGATCCTGTTACTGTTCCTGTTCCTGTTCCTGTTCCTGTTCCTGTTCCTGTTCCTGTTCTTGTTCCTATCCTGTTTCTGTTCCTGTTCCTGTTCCTGTTCCTGTTCCTGTTCCTGTTCCTTTTAAAATGAATACAAGTACAAACTTACTATATTTGTTTAATATTGGATCTGGGGATACAGAACATTTTATGATATATCTGATTAAATTCAGAAAGGTATGAATTACATTATGTATCATCCGGAAATCATGAGTAACACATTTCAGAATAAAATTGATGCGGAAACCTATTTGGGAAGAAATGTTTTTACAACGAAAAATTTGTATGTGAGCATTGTGAGTTTACCCCATAAAATTGAGAGATGAGAGGGGGGGAGGGATATTAGGGCTCAGGGACGTTTCAGGGAAAATTATAAGTTTTAGGGTTATTCATTGTTAAGCATCTATACCTAACACTAAAATGCTGCAATACTAAAAAATTTCCTAACTTAATTTTTAATTAAGTAATTAATAATACCATGGATGATCCCTGAAAATATTTATGTTTCCTAATATTGATTTTTCTACAATTAAATGTCTAAAGGTTGGCAGACACATATTTAAACATAATATATGGTTCTATACACGCGCTATCTCCCTATTTCTCTTTCACTCTTTTCTGTGAAAATGACAATTTTTCATGTGCAACGAAATTTTATCACATGAAAAATTTGATCTTACTGTTTTGCATATCGTTTGTCTAACAAATGATAAAATAATAATAAATTGAATTAGCTACTAATATAATGAATTATTCAGTCCTAAATTCTCTGACGGAAACTTAAGCCAGTATTAGAAGGGAAACCAGATTTGAAAATCAGATTTATTAGGGGTTTGGATAAGCTTTGATTTTATAGATCTATTACAAGCTGGTAATGTTTAAAATCACGTGTTCGAAACTTGGTTTGTTTTCCCAGCCCGTCAAAAGTTTCCTTGTCAAAGATCCAGATTTTCCTGTCTAAATGCTTCTCCTGTGTGTGCACAGTATGTGGTCAGCCCACGAATTTATCTAATTAATTCACGACGCTCTAGAATCTTAACAATTTCAAGATTGGGGGGATAAACTGTCACCAAAATACAAACAAATCCAATTTAAAACAAACGGGAGGAGGGGGGGGGGTATGGACGGTGTAGATTCGGCTGTTATTTTTGTACTTCAAGCTTTTAACAATTCAATTCCATTTCTTCTTTAAAACAATCATCCTCCTTAATTTAATCAATTTTTTTCCAATAATAAGAAAATGAAAATATTGTTTGAAAAATAATATGATAAATATAAACTAGTATATAAACATGAATATACGTTTAATTTGTTTATTTTATCTGATGATTAAACTATAAGAAGAGATATCTATCCAACGCCTTCAGTTAAATCTTGTGTAATCCGTCAATACCCCAGACAGCTGGGTTTCCTTACATGCTTTCAAGTTATTATCATGGATTTTCATTTACCTAGCGATTCAACGATTAGGTAGACACTAGACAAGTAGGTAGACATATAGGTAGAATTGTATAGGTGGACAAGTAGGTAGACATATAGGTAGACTTGTATAGGTAGTCTTGTATTGGTAGACAAGTAGGTAGACATCTAGGTAGACAAGTAGGTAGACAAGTATGTAGACTAGTAGGTTGACAAGTAGGTAGACAAGTAGGTAGACAAGTAAGTAGAAAAGTCAGTAGACAAGTAGGTAGACAAGTATGTAGAAAAGTAGGTAGACATGTAGGTAGACATGAAGGTGGACAAGTAAGTAGACAAGTAAGTAGACAAGTAAGTAGACAAATAGGTAGACAAGTAGGTAGACAAGTAGGTAGACAAGTAGGTAGACAAGTAAGTAGACAAGTAGGTAGACAAGAAGGTTGACAAGTAAGTAGACAAGTAGGTAGACAAAGAGGTAGACAAGTAAGTAGACAAGTAAGTAGATACGTAAGTAGACAAGTATAGGTATAGAAGTAGGTAGACAAGTAGGTAGAAAAGTAGGTAGACAAGTAGGTAGACAAGTAGGTAGACAATTAGGTAGACAAGTAGGTAGACAAGTAGGTAGACAAGTAGGTAGACAAATAGGTAGAAAAGTAGGTAGACAAGTAGGTAAACAGAAAAAACCAACTACACCTCTAATAATGATGAATATACTTGGTGACGCAAGATAAATATAAATTACAATGTACTCTGGGTTTTTACTCTCACAATTCTCCTGAAGAATGAAAACTTGAAAGGGAAAGAGCACGTTTCCACGTCCCAACACAACCCATGTGCATTCACGACATCATGGAGAAACTTGCTCAAGAATATAATCTTGAACCGTCTCAAACCTTCTTCTCTTTTACCATATCAAGAAAAGATAACAACTCCCTTTTCCTCCTTTTTCTGAAAAAAAAACTCCTGCCAAAATATTCCCCAGGCTCCTGGGACAGGTGCCTCTTTTCATACCTCCATCATTAGGAGACACGGAGTCACTTTTTCCTTGAACTGCAGTTCGTTTTCTGTAACACCCCCGACAATCTTTCATCACTTTACAGATTCTTTTTTTCTGTCTGTTCCCCCCCCCCCCCCATCCCCAGTGCTCCCCTTATTATTCCCACCTTACCCCCCCCCTTTCCCCGTTTCCTGGTAAGCACCTAAAATTATATGTTATTTTTCTCATGAATAAAGATTTTTAAAGCATGCATAATGAAAATTGTATCCATCCATGAAACACGATGGAAATACATGTTAATGAAAAAAATTACTCATCTTTTTAACATACCAATGCTTTACAGCTCTCTTACTCGTCTTTTTTCTAATGCCCATTTAGGGTTGTTGCCTGCGTTATATAATAGCCTTTTTTAATAGTTTAAACTTTCATATTTCTGTTAATAGTTCTTCATATCAACTTCATATCAACTACGAATAAAATTTGTTGTTGTAAATGAGTAAATATTGGAAGTGTAGGTTTTTTTTTCTGTTTTTTTTCGCCATTGGAATTTTTAAACTTTAAATATGTTTGAATAATCTGTAGGCTGTTATATATACCACCAGTATCATGTTTGAGTATATACCACATATATGACTCTTTTTATGACTAATGGCACCCCTGTATCACTAAACTCCTATAAATGACTATTGGTCGCCCTTAGCAACTGGTCTTTCTTGTATGACTAAAGACCCCCCTCCCCATCAGTTTTTATTGTTGTACGTACACATAATCATGAAATATCAAATGCCTAACTGCACATACCTTTCGATCTGCTGTAAGGAAACTATTCTTGTTTTATCGCAATAATCTTTATATGTTTAATTATTCCATAGGGTGTCCTAAATTAAGCTCTTTTACGGGCAAACAGGGTGCCCAAAACTGGATCAGACAAACTGGGTGTCCAAAACTAGAAAAGCATATTCTTTCTACATTCAACAAATATTTGCTTCTATTTTCTTAGCTTCCACCTAACCAAAAGATATACATTTTTCTTTCAAAACTGTTTTAATACGGATTTACAAAATAGATCAATGTTATGCAGGAGTTAACTTGATGTATGTATGCAACATGAATTTATATACATTGTTTTTAGAACTAAGATAAAACGAAAAACACAGAAAACGAAACATTTAATTTTTATCAGAACTAGATGCATGGCGAGCATGGCAATATCTTAGCATTAAAGAATATTAAACGTCGTCTTTAAATATTGGAATTTTTTCCCTGCAGAATATTTAATAATTTCCCCCCTAACACTAGCAGAGAGCTAAGTGTTAGTTTAACAAATATAACAAAAAACCTCCTTCCTGTCATTATTAACATAAATCTGGGGGGTACTTTACCAAAGAAAACTATAGCCAAGCAAGGAAAGAAAGCGCGATGAAATATATTTAAAACATTACAGAGGCCAGAGGGAATAATTTTTAAAAAGTAATTTGGCTCCATTTTGTGTTCTCTTTATAACATTATCATTTTTTATAATGGTTTCGGATAATAATATACAAGTGCGATATTGAGATCAAGCTCCATAAATAGATATCTTGATAGGGAGCTTAAACGCTCGATCTCAATATCTAATGTGGGCACTTGTAAAATAGAGGGATTCCTCAATTAAAGTAATCCCTGCAAGGTATGACTCCCATCTGAGAGGAATTTAATTAATCCGAGGGTCTGCAATCTGCATTAGATCTGGATATTTTATGCTTAATCCCAAGATTCAACCTCAGGACATTTTGATAGATTTTTAACAAATACAAAGAGTTGAGTTTTGCAATTTTAAATGTTGAATACCTTAGAAATTTCAAATTCTGAATTCTTTTAAATAAGATAATTTTTATATCAAACATCAGGTTGCAAAGGTATAGGGATTAGAAAATTGAAAATTTTAGTTTGTGGCAAACATTCGTTCCTTTCCAATTCGCTGGGGACTTTCACAACATGTTAATTAACGATGAAAGTCAAAAATAATTTTTTCGTTTTCAAAATATAGGGAAAAGCTTAACAAATCACGTTATTGCCTCGACTGAATTGTATATTTGGTTGTTATATTGCTTGTGGTTTATTATAGCTTTATTTTTGAATTTAAATTAATTTAACTTAATTTCTACTCTATATGCTCCTGTTTACGTTGAATATCTATCTGACAGAATTAATGTTCTGTTTTATATAATAAACTGAAATTTTCTATTTCCTGTTTACATGACATTGAAGATCTATGTTTAGACAGTTTGCGTAATCATATACATTGAAGATTTTTAACAAAACGTGTTGAGCCCGTACTGGGATTGAGATTTAATTCTGTGGTAGACATCTGAAAAAATGTTGTGTACCGACGCGACTAAGTGCTCCTGGCCTACTCCGCCTAAAATGATTGTGCCGGCCCGCCTGGTATGAATTATTTAGTACTGGCACAGAAGTCCAAATATTATGCGTGAAAGCACTATTCTGCGTTAGTAACAAAAAGTGAACAAGGGAGGAAAGAGCTTAAAAGCTAAAAAGTTTTAGCTAATATATATCTGTTCCTAAAGATATTCGTGTGTTTTGCAATAATGAGTGCTTGAAAAAGTTTCTGCAAATCTACTTGGTGTTTGGTCCTGCTAAAAATTGGTAAGCTTTAATCGTCAAAATATTTTACGTAGGTTTACCATTTAAGATTGTAATTGTCGCTTATTATATAAAATAAAAACCTAAATTTGATGTTTAACAGAAAAATGTTATCCTAAAAATGTTTCTTTTCCAATTAATAATTAAAACTGAAATCGTGATAACAAAAATTTCATGATGTTCCTTTGACATCAAATATTCTATTTTAAATTTTAAATTTTAAACTTTTGTCGAATCAATCATTGATTTGGACAGCTTTGTCTGGAAGGTCAAGTATTGTCTGGAAAAGAATTCCTGTTTTTAAAATCTTGTTTTCTTTAAATTTATGGAGTAAATATTTGTTAAAACTGTAAAAACTCTTATTCTTATAGAACATATATATATTATACATGGTAAAACTAATTCGAAATTAGTTTAACAATACAATTTAATTTCTAAAATATAATTTTGAATCACGATTTATTTTTAAGATGTAAGCAAAGAAGAAAAACGCCCACGTAACGTTTTCCTTGTAAATTATTTTTTTATCAATTCAAAATTGATTAATCGGATTTGAAAGAAATGAAATGTAAGAATTGATGCCAAATTAAAATCAGTTTAAGAAAAACTCTAAATTATTTAATCTTAGAGTTCTGCGAAATCTTTAAAAAAAAAGATTTTGAAAGATTAGTGCACATTTTTGTTCGTATGAATGTAATGTACGTCGAAGAAAACAAATGATACACTTATAAGCTGCAATACCGTGTATTCTTATCAAATCTTTTTATTACATATAAAAATTTATTTGGCATTTCGGAGTAACGCTTGGATGGGAAATGACAAAATCATAGAATTTTTTATCTGAAAGATCTTGAGCTCTTCTTCATGCAAGAAATATAGAACATCGTTTTTAATCGTTTTTAATCGTTTTTAATCGTTTTTAATCGTTTTTAATCGTCTTTAATCGTTTTTTTAAACATCAAGACGCTTTTCAGCATTTTTATCTCATACAAAAATATTTGTAAAGTTTGCTTTTATTTAGTTTTCAAATTTTTTGCTCTGACCAATCTTTTTGTTTTTCCCTTCTGTAATCTTATAGAAAGATAACTAAACTGTAATATTTACAAGATCCTTATTATCTTTGCCACATCAATTAGTAGAATTTACAAGATTTTATCATCTTTGCCACATCAATTAGTAGAATTTACAAGATTTTATCATCTTTGCCACATCAATTAATGTAGATTAAGTTTATTACTTCATCCTTCGGTTTTATTTGATACAAAACTCTTAAGGATACTTTAATTGTTCTAAATCTTTTATTTTTGAAACCTAATGGTTTGATTCTTTGATAAATTTTAACTATTGATATAACAGAATCATAGTTTGAAATAACAAAATTAATTTTCATAAGAATCTTAAAAGTTATTTTTACAAATTCGTATATTTCCATTACAGTGATATATGTACTTTTGTTGAACTTTAAATTTGCCACTTAGCAATATAATTAACAATATAATTAACAATACATCCCCATTAACTTTAGAAATTTCCTATATTTGATATATTTTCAAATATTTACAACTCTAAGTTTGAAAGAGAAGTAATGAGAAGCTTAAAGAGACTGTCGACGTTATTTCTCAATTTTAAGAGTTCATTCACATAGGAACCCTTCTTGTTTTTTTGTTGTTCTTTAAAAACTGATAATATGTGGGTTCTCTTCAAATGTGACTTGCGGATTTAAGTGACATAAAGAAGGAATGAAATCGACAGAATTCAACACGTTTTAAGAAAAACGACAATAACTTGCAGAGAGATGAAGTTGAAAACGGTACCGTTGTGAACCACTTGGAATTAAGTTTACAGTACCTTTAACATTTTCGTATTTAACATATTCCTATCTTTAATCGTTTTTAATCGTTTTTAATCGTTTTTAATCGTCTTTAATCGTTTTTTTAAACATCAAGACGCTTTTCAGCATTTTTATCTCATACAAAAATATTTGTAAAGTTTGCTTTTATTTAGTTTTCAAATTTTTTGCTCTGACCAATCTTTTTGTTTTTCCCTTCTGTAATCTTATAGAAAGATAACTAAACTGTAAACACTTGTCTGAAACTCTATTTTTCTATTCACTATATCTTTTTAACCTGATGGTGTGAACGTATTCATACATAGAATGGATCAGAAAGTTAGAATACTAGGCAAGTTCCAGTTCGTCAGCAGAATGTAAGCAAAGAAAACTGAAAGAACATTCAAATGAAGAAAAAAACGAGAAACATCTCGGATCTTTGTCGATATCGAGCCTCATAAAATCTCAAACACGCGAAATAGAGGCAGTATAAGGGGGGGGGCAAAGGTTTTCCTTGGCAAGCAAGAAAATGGCCTAATTTGTTTCTTTTTCCGGTTGAAACCGTCTAGTGTTGCTGATCGAATCAACCATAAAAGAGTCAAGTTGTAAAAGTTTATTGCACTCTTAAATTAAATTAAAACCGCGTAAACTTTCAGCGAAAATAATATTTAGTTTCTCATTTCAACATATTTTTCAAAAAACTAATTTCCTTAATTTACATGAATTAATTAGGACTCTATAACATAACATGACACTTATCACGCTCTTTATTTAACATGAACTGAGCTGAAAACTCTTGTATTGGATACCCTTAATTCTGATATCTAAATCTCTGTATCCACTGTCGATATGGATATCCATCCTGTCTACGATTTACGCACCATAAAAGTTCTCTGATCACACATCTCCAACTCTTATTTCCTATATCTTTGACTATTAAATATAACAGAATTCAATATCTCAGGTCTATAACATCAGGTTATTAATTGATATGAGGATTAGAAATTATAGTTTGAGGTAAGTAATCATTTTCCTTGGCGTTGATGTGAGATGCAGGAAAGAAATCCCCGGATGTTCCAAACCAAATATTCTTGTGGTTTTAACTTCAATGAAGTCTCATCCTTTGTGGGTAACCCTGTATGGAGCTATAGTATTGAATAGGTTGGTTTTAGGCTGAAATCTGAAAACATAAAAGAGTGTTCTGAAAGCTGTATTGCTGGGTAGCTGGGTGTGGGTGATGTAAGCTCATAAACCAGCTTTTGGAGTACAGTCCATTTAACATTTTCGTATTTAACATATTCCTATCTTCATAAGGGGGGAGTACAGCCCCTTTAATATTTTCGTATTTAACATATTCCTATCTTAATAAGGGGGGAGTACAACCCTTTAATATTTTCGTATTTTACATATTCCTATCTTAATAAGGGGGGAGTACAGCCCCTTTAACATTTTCGTATTTTACATATTCCTATCTTAATAAGGGGGGGAGTACACAGTCCCTGAAACATTTTAGCATTTTACATATCATATCTTAATAAGGGGGGGGGGTACAATCCCTTTAATATTTTCGTATTTTACATATTCCTATCTTCATAAGGGGGGAGTACAGCCCCTTTAATATTTTCGTATTTAACATATTTCTATCTTAGTAAGGAGGGAGTACAACCCTTTAATATTTTCGTATTTTACATATTCCTATCTTAATAAGGGGGGGAGTATAGTCCCTTTAACATTTTCGTATTTTACATATTCCTATCTTAATAAGGGGGGGAGTACAGTCCCTTTAATATTTTCGTATTTTACCTATTCCTATCTTAATAAGGGGAGTACAGCCCCTTTAACATTTTCGTATTTTACATATTCATATCTAAATAAGGGGGGGAGTACAGTCCCTTTAATATTTTCGTATTTTACATATTCCTATCTTAAAAAGCGGGGTAGAGAGTAACGTTGAAATAGATAAATATATACTTTCAACGATAGACATAAGATAATTAAATACATAAGGGGGGATAGACACACTTTAGGGGTTTAAAAGGGGCTGTCAAAGATGTCAAGAGCAACTCTCCATTTATAGAGGGCATGCTCGATCTCTACAGTACCATAAATAAACCTTTATCGGATCCATTATGTGGAAATTGGAATCTTTAAAAGATATTTGTAATAATTGTGTTATTACATAAGTTTTTTATTGATAGTTGGTGTATTCTTTTAGATAAATAGATTAATGATATTTATGATTAATGAAGATTTGAACATAGCATACATAGATAGATAGATAGATAGATAGATAGATAGATAGATAGATAGATAGATAGATAGATAGATAGATAGATAGATAGATAGATAGATAGATAGATAGATAGATAGATAGATAGATAGATAGATAGATAGATAGATAGATAGATAGATAGATAGATAGTAGATAGATAGATAGATATATAGATAGATAGATATTAGATTATGATCCTGAATTAATAGGAGTACGTCTAGACATATATAATCTATATAAATACATCAAATGAGTTAAAAAATCATTTATATGTATACTAAAGTAGGGTTAAAGTAAGCTTCTAAATATTAGACATTTCATGTTCAAAATAAATTATACTTCAAAATCTAAGATTTTTTTTCCAAAACCAAAATACATAAAAAAACATATTTTTTTGAGTTAAAGATTTTTCAACAAATTGTTGTATACTCTGATTTTGATTTAATTGCTTCACAAAGCAAATCAACCAAAAATCAGGAAGTGGGAGTGAAAAGGGTGGGGTGTAAAAAATAACAACCCCCCCCGCTCTTTCATTAAGTTTCGCGCTGTTTCTAAGTCTCTAAAAATCCCTATTACTCAAAATGTTAAGAATAAAAAGTAAATATTTCTACTATACTTTAATCTTGAAGCTTATCTAATAAACATTTTAAATTCAATATATGCGTCGAGGCGTTTAAAGATTCCAGAGGTCAATATTTTTGTATATTTTTAAAATCTGTTTATAAGATGTTTATTCCATGATGCGCTTTCAGAAAGAGCTGCTTTTTCAATTTTGCAAAATTAGAGTTCTTAATTTAAAATAAAATTCTGTTTTATTGATAACTAACTAAAAGTGTCCAGTTAACTAGTTAATAATGCGCTTAAAATTTGTTTTAATTTATTATTTTGAAATATTAGAATTTT